GGCAGAGGCAGAGGGAGAAGCAGACCCCCCACTGAGCAGGGAGCCCGATGTGGAGCTCGATCCCAGGACCCTGGGACCATGACCTGAGCTGAAGGCAGACGCTTAACGACTGAGCCACCCCGGCGCCCCAGCAATCCTTTTTTATTCATCTACAAATTCAAATGCTAATCTCTTCTAGAAAAACTCTCATAGACATACCCAGAAGTAAAGTTTTGTCAGCTAACTGGGCTTCCTTTAGCAAAGTCAAGTTGACACAAAATTCACCACCACGGAGAGGAAATCAGAATTGAACCCAAACATTTCCAAACAGGGGGGTAAGCCTGGAAGCCAGCTTCCTTTCTGGCACTGACCCTGCTGCTCGCTGATCTAGAACTAGGCTGTCCCGTACCGAAGCCGCTGCCACACGTGGCTACTGAGCATTGGAAATGTGGCCGGTCTGGGCTGCCATATGGCGTAAGTGTCAAATACACACTGGATTTTGAAGACTTACTTTAAAAAAAAAGCGCTGTCTCAATATTTTTTATATTGAACACATCTTGAAATAAAATACTTTGTTGAGTTAGATAAAATATATTATTAAAATTAATTACAATTATATGTGGCTATTAGGCAATTTTAAATTACTTCTGTGGCTTGCATTTTTTCCTACTAAACCAGCATTGACCTAGAAGGAAACCTAAGATCCCTTTTCACAATTTTCCTTAAACCAAGACCCCAGGAAGAGCCCTGGGGAGCTTCCAGAATTGTCTTTTTTGGACTCCACCCGCCCCCCCCCCAGCCCCGAACTTCGGGGCTCTCTTGGTTCTCCAGAGTCAGAGACCACCCGAGCAGATGCCACTAAAGTCAAAAATATTCCTCCCATAGGGACCCCTCCAAAAAGGGCTTGAGAAATGGACTCTTAAAATGGCCCACAGAGATTCTGCACGGAGAGCTCCTCACCCCCAAACAGAGACCAGAAGCACATCTTCCAGTTGGCTGTTTCTCTGTGTGCTCTGCGGTATAGCGTGCAAAACCGTGTTCGTAAACTTGGTACGTGCTGGACTAACCCACGTTACTTTTTCCAAGTTGCAGGAATGCTCAGAGCCTATGTGTATTAATAGATATTGTGACTCCCTAAGAGTCAAACATTTTTTTTAAAGATTTATTTATTTGAGGGAGAGAGAGAGAGAGAGAGAGTGGGCAAGTGGGGGGAGGGGCAGAGGGCGAGAATCTTCAAGCAGACTCCCGGCTGAGCACGGAGCCCAACTCCAGGCTTGATCTGACCCATGAGATCATGACCAGAGCGGAAACCAAGAGTTGGACACTTCAAGGCGCCCTTAAGAGTCAAACATTTTATGTGACTCTTCCTAAATTTATTGAAGACAGATTCCTCACACCTTGTTTGAGCATCCACCAAACATACATCAAGAAAGGCTGTGTGGGCTCTGTGACTTCTGCCACCACCCGGGTCGTCTCCCTCCCTAGAAGTGGCTACAGTTACCAGGCACAGCCCTCTGGGTCTGAGAGAAGACTGCAGCTGCCTCTAGCTTCTAGAATACTTTGCTCACTGGCATTTGGCAAAATGGCACTTGATTTAATAGCAAGAGGAATTTGCTGATATTCAACCAGGTAAGACCATTTTTCTCTGCCTGGTTTTGATATTCTGTGCTCCAGACCTCGGGAGCACTTAATTGCCCTCTGATTTATATGATTATAAGAGATTTCAAAAAAAATATATTATTTGTGTACTGGGAGTAAATGAGAGAGCTTTATATCAATGCCTAATTCATTCACCTCTGTGGAAAAATATAATCAATTTGCAACAGATAGCTTGAAGATTTACAAAGTGTTGGATTAAGGACCTTACTCAATAATCATCATTTCTATTAGTTCATATCCGGGCTCTAACCTGCCCAGGGTGCGGGGGTCGAGGAGGATGGAGCCTGCCCGTGGCCTGCTCGCAGTAAGCCACCAGCATGCTGGGGCTGAGGGACAGCAGGAGGGGGCCAAGAAGCTCATTTACTTCAATCCATCTTGCTAACATTGGCTGCTATTACATTCTATCCCAGCCCCTCCTCCCCTCCTCAGCCCTGAAACTCTGAGCTCCCTCCCAGATACTCAATTCAGGCCACAGCTGAGCTTCCAGCTTCTGTCATTGGTTTCCCATACCTGGCTCTCTTTAAAAAAAAAGGAAAAAAGAGCCACCTATAGGTCAGTCTTGCTAGCTCAGGTACTTTCCTACTCTTAACTCAGTCCTCCTGGCTTCATCATCACTAAACGTTTTTCATTCAACAGAACAGAGACACTGTGCCAGGCATGGGACTAAATGCTCCTACAGGGTCTGCACATACAAAATTGGTTGATTTGGATATTTTTTAAATTTTATTTTGTGTAAATTCAATTAATTAACATAGAATGTATTAGTTTCAGGGGTAGAATTTAGTGATTCATCATATAACACCCAGTGCTCAGTCCATCACGTGCTCTCCTTCGTGCCCATCCCCCAGTTACCCCATCCCCCCAGCCACGGCCCCTCCAGCAACCAACCCTCAGTTGGTTTCCTAGAGTTAAGGATTTAGGTTTAAAAAGAAAAGTCCTGGCCTCATTTGGTTGAATTCGTTATTCCTTTGTGTTCTTTTAGCTTCCTGACAATGAAATTAAAGTTTGATCCTGATTCATGACGGACCACGTCGACCAGCTGTCTTTCTTCTGGAAAGCTCCCTCATTATCCTAATGCTGGCAGAGCCCCTGTTCTCCTGAGAACCTGCTTTCTGCTCTCCTCCAGGTGGGTCCTGGAAACTGCTTGGTGGCTGGTTGCGGGGCAGGGCCATCGCCGGACGCATGGCCTTCTCCGTCTCGGCTAACACAGCAGAGACCCAGTTTCAGCTGACAATCTCATATTGCAGGACAGGAAACAAAAGAGCAATTCAGTCCTTGTGAAAACTTGCCAGATTTCCATGCAATGATTTTCCTTCTTAAAATCACTTTTTGTGTTTCCATCACAGAAATGAACTCAAAGGAAAAGGAGTAATTGCTGGTCTACTCGGAATCACTGGGCCTCCACAACTAAGTGCATTCCTGCATGAATCTATTAATTTCCATTTCCAGGGCTTTCAGATGTAAAACAAATGTTTGATGTAATATGCACCACTACTCTGCTATAATTAAACAACCTCTTACTGTCTAAATTGGTGAAGCACTTCATCGATCAGTATACATTTGGTTCTTAGGAGACGGCTTTCACATTTTCTTGATACATGGGAAAATGGCCACAAGTCTTCTGTAAGATTTCCTGGATGCTGCTCTCCCCCAGGTTACAATAGCAGAAATGTAATGCTCATGTCCAGTGATGGCTCAGTGTACATGTATGTAAAGGGGAGGGAATGGGAGGGAGTCTCCAATTATGAATCAAATACAACTGACCCTTGAATAGCACGGGGGATTAGGTATGCTGACCTCCATGCAGCCAAAAATCTATGTATAGGGCCACCTGCGCCTATCAATCGGTTAAGCGTCAGACTCTTGATTTTGGCTCAGGTCATGATCTCAGGGTCATAAGATGGAGCCCCACATTGGGCTCCACGCTGGGTGTGGAGCCTGCTTAAGATTCTCTCTCTCTCCCTCACCCTCTGCCCCTCCTGCTCCACTTGTGCACACTTTCTCTCTCTCTCAAAAAAAAAAAAAAATCCATGGGGCATCCGCATGGCTCAGTTGGTTAGTCATCTGCCTTCGGCTCAGGTCATGATCCGAGGGTCCTGGGATCAAACTCCTCATCAGGTTCCCTGCTCAGCAGGGAGTCTGCTCCTCCCTCTGCCCCTGCCCCTACCCACGCATGCTCTCTCTCTCTGTCTGAAATAAATAATAAAATCTTTAAAAAAAAATCCACGTATAATTTTGGATTCCTCCAAAACTTAACTAATAGCCTACTGTTGACCGCAAGCCTTACTGATCACATAAACAGTTGATTAACATATATTTTGTATGTTATACATATTATAATACTGTATTCTTACAATAAAGTAAGCTAGAGAAAAGAAACTGTTATTAATAATATCACAAGGAAGAGAAAATACATTGACAATACTCTACTGTATTTATCGAAAAAAAGTTTGCATATAAGTCGACCCGTGTTGTTCAAGGGCCGACTGTGTATTCCATTCCAGGACCATTTCCTGAGTTCCTATGCAACACCATTCCGAGCACAATTTACTAAGCACCTTGCATGTACTAGGAGCCAGTCACAATATTCGAGATGTGGTGCCCTGTTACCCTAACTACGCCTCGTATCATCTGCTTCCTTCTTCCACAAAGTGGGGAGGCTGGATTCCTGCCAGGTCTGATAGCCTGGAATTCACTCTTCACACGTAGCCAATAGGAAGCCTGGAGTAATTCTCAGCCACTGCTCCTTCCTTGCCCAGGTGTTGGGGCTACCACATGCGGGTCAGTCCTGGCCCCAGACCCTAGGGCTAAGCCAGACCGGGGCAGGGAGGCTTCAGTACTCCATCACCCCATGGTTAGCCCTCACTGCACACTGCATTTCAGACACCACAGCTTCTGCCTTAGTTCTCTGAAGACAGCCACCATGTCCCACCTGTAGTCATTCTCAGGGCTCAGCTGCAGACAAAGAATCCACTTGAGCTAGTTGAAGCAGAAAAGGATTTATCACAGGCTACTAAATGGCTTCCCCAATGCTTGGAAAAGCTGAAGTACAGACCCTGGGAGGAGCTCCCTGGAGCTACTCTCAAAGCCACCTAGCAGAACCAGGAGACATTCATGGCTATCAGGGAGGGGTCTGCAGGATCGGCAAACAGCCCCCACCCCTGCTGGCTTCAGAACCACTTCCCTCTGCTCTTGTCACACCGGTTGAAGTAGGTGTCTCAGCCTCTGCCTCTCTGGCCACTTGACTCTTTCCAAATTTAACCTCCCCTGTTTGCATCAGGAGGTGGATCCTAAGTGATGCCTAGAGTCCTAGTTGCCGGGATTCAGGGGCGAATGAGGTTTTCACCTGCCCACCTCTGCAGGATGGGAGGGCACACAGAAACCAGAAGTGCTTTGGAAGACAGGCTGAAAGAGCTGACACCGGGTTTTGTCAGTTTCCCAAGCAGAAACCTGACGCCCTCCCTGTCCCGACTCTATCCATTTTTATCTCCATAGTTGGCTTAATCCCCCAGGGCTCTGGAAACCTATTTCTACTGGCTGAGAACCAGCTGGGAACCAGCCACCTGCTGACAAATGCCAAACCCAGGACTGCTTTGTACTGAACACTTCGCTTTGCTGAGGTCCTAAATTTTCTGCAAAGTGCCTCTTCTCCCCAGCACTCCTCGACAGAGTTACCATTTCATGAGGTGCGCCTCCACCACCCGAGGCCACAGTTTATTGCTCCAGGAATAAGCAGCTCCCTGATCCGACTCAATCAGGGATCTCCCCTTGAAACTATGGGCTGGAACCGACAACGACTGCATCAAACTTAGCAGTTGAAGCTATAAAAAACTATCTCGGAAGCTCTCAGAGGCCGTGATTTCTGCCATGTGGACAGCACTGACCATGATGAGAGCAAAGAAGGAAGTCGATGGAAATACAGAAGGAAATTCATAAGAAGGAGAGGGAATGCTGAAGGCGTTTGCACCCTTGGTTCCGGTTTCTCCTAACCCCATCCTCTCCCCCGCCCCCCATGCCAGTCTTTTAGCCCCAGGGGATGGTTCTGTGCCCGAGGAGTATTGTCATTCTCCCTCTTTTGCTTCAGTTTGAGCTGGCCTCTGTCATCTGAACCAAGGAGTGAGAATTAATACATATTTACTGAGTGGTTTGAGGGGAGCTGTTTGATTCTCACACATACGGTTATTTCTCCTACACACACATGCACACACATGCATGCACCCGTGTGCGCGTACACACACTTCCTGACTCTGCCAGTTCTTAAAGCTCCAGTCCTATTACTCTGCTCCCCTTCGTAGCAAAGCCTCAAAAGAACTCTCTGTACTTCCCTTGTCATCTTCTCTCTCCCAACCGCGTGGCCTCCATGTCGCCAACTTCAGGGTCATCTCTCAGCCTCTCTCTTGGACCTCTCTGCTGCACTTGTCGCCACTGATCATTTCCACCTCCCTGGAACTTTCTTCATTTGCCTGCAGGCCACAAGTTAGCTTGGTTTCCCTCCTGCCTCACCATCGCCCCTGCCCAGTGTCCCTCTTGGTTCCTCCTCATATTCTTGACATCTTAGTATCTGTGCCATCTGTTGGCCTCTTTGCTTTCCTATTCCCTCCCTTGTCCCTCATCTGCTCTTCTCTATCGCAGGAGACCTGGCTAGAAAGCCTGCTTTCCCAGATGACCACGCCCACTGGCTTCTGCTGTGTATGACTAACTGGAGGCTGGGCTGGGAGACCGAGTAGGGGGCCTTGAGCCTTGTCTCCAGCAGCAGCTTCATTTCATCTTGTGTCTACCTCCTGGGGGCTTGCCAGAGCTCAGGGTCCGTCAGGTGAGCCCAGCCCCTGGGTTCTGGTAACACCACCTCTGCTTTATTCCCAGACAACATGACTATCTGTAGAGAAAATCGGATGGAATCTAAAAATCAACTAGGAGAATGAATGAGTTTAGCAAGTTTGCGACATACAATATCAAGATACAGAAATCAATTATTTATCTATATATTGGCAACAATCAGAAATGAAAGTAAAATCAGTATCACTTAATATCACATAAAAATATTAAAAACTTAGAGATAAATCTGACAAAAGATGTAAAAGACCCCACAATGAAAATCTTTGCTGGGGGGAATTAAAGAGACTTAAATTAATGGAGCTATATACCTTATTCATAGGGTGGTTCTCCACCAAATTGATCTAAAGATTAAAAAGACATAGGGAGAGCTGCCTGGCTGGCTTAGTTGGAGGAGCATGCGACTCTTGATCTTGGGGTAGTGGGTTTGAGCCCCACGTTGGGTGTAGAGATTACTGAAAAAAAAGAAATTTAAATAATAAATAAATAAAATTTTAAAACACATAAGGAATAGAGTCAATACTATTGTAATAACATTGCATGGTGACAGATGGTAACCATGTTTATGGTGGTGAGCATCACATAATGTGTAGAATTGTTGATTCACTAGGTTGTACACCTGAAACTCATATAGTGTGGTATGTCAACTATACTTTGATTAAAAAAAGGAACAGTGCCAATCAAAATCAAGCAGACCATTTTTTTGTAGAAATTAACAAGCTGATTCTAAAATCTATATGGAAATGCAAAGGACCTAAAATAGGTAAGATAACTTTGAACAAAGTTGGAGGATTAATGTTACTCAGTTTCTAGAATTATTATAAAGTCATAGTAATCAAGACAGTATGTTACTGGCATAAACACTGACAAATAGAACAGAGTGTAGAAATATACCCACATATACACATACATAGACAACTGAGTTTTGACAAAGGTGCAAAGAGAATTCAGTGAAGAAAGGGTAGTCATTTAAACCAATGGTACTAGACATATGATCCAGCAATTGCACTACTGGGTATTTACCCCAAAGATACAAAAGTAGGGATCTGAAAGGGTACGTGCACCCCGATGTTTATAGCAGCAATGTCCACAATAGCCAAACTGTGGAAAGAGCCAAGATGTCCATTGACAGATGAATGGATAAAGAAGAGGTGATATATATATACAATGGAATATTATGCAGCCATCAAAAGGAATGAGATCTTGCCATTTGCAACGACGTGGATGGAACTGGAGGGTATTATGTTGAGTGAAATAAGTCAAACAGAGAAAGACATGTATCATATGACCTCACTGATATGAGGAATTCTTAATCGCAGGAAACAAACTGAGGGTTGCTGGAGTGGGGGGTGGGGTGGGAGGGATGGGGGGACTGGGTGATAGACACTGGGGAGGGTATGTGCTCTGGTAAGCGCTGTGAATTGTGCAAGACTGTTGAATCTCAGATCTGTACCTCTGAAACAAATAATGCAATATATGTTAAGAAAAAAAAAAAAAGAAGAAGGTAGCGGGAGGGGAAGAATGAAGCGGGGGAAATCGGAGGGGTAGACGAACCATGAGAGACGATGGACTCTGAAAAACAAACTGAGGGTTCTAGAGGGGAGGGGGGTGGGAGGATGGGTTGGCCTGGTGATGGGTATTAAAGAGGGCATGTATTGAATGGAACACTGGGTGTTATAGGCAAACA